ACACAGAGGGACCAAGTCTAAGGCATTGTCTTATGACACAGAAGGACCAGGTTTAACACATTGTCTTATGACACAGAAGGACCAGGTTTAACACATTGTCTAATGACACAGAGGGACCAAGTTTGACACATTGTCTAATGTCACAGAGGGACCAAGTTTAACACATTGTCTAATGACACAGAGGGACCAAGTTTAACACATTGTCTAATGACGCAGAGGGACCAAGTTTAACACATCGTCTAATGACGCAGAGGGACCAAGTTTAACACATTGTCTAATGACGCAGAGGGACCAAGTTTAACACATCGTCTAATGACGCAGAGGGACCAAGTTTAACACATTGTCTAATGGCACAGAGGGACCAAGTTTAACACATTGTCTAATGGCACAGAGGGACCAAGTTTAAGACATTGTCTAAAGACACAGAGGGACCAAGATTAAGACATTGTCTCTTGAATATTTGTGTTAGACTCACCTTTGTGATGTGGGGTGTTGGAGACTGCCGGGAGCTTCGGGATAGAACAAGAGCATTCAGTAGTAGTGGTAATAGCAGTAGTAGTAGTAGTAGTAGCAGAAGCAGTAGTAAGAACAGCAGCAGTGGTAGTATCTGCGGTCGCTGTCTGCTGTTAATAGAGGATTATATTGTCATTGCTGGCTATCGCAATTGGTTCATGGAGGTCATGATAAATTATCTGAACCCTGTCTGAATTTGATAGCTACAGGCCGATGTCAATGTATTTTAGCACCAAATTATATTGGAATAAGTATAATAATTGCCTATTTCAAAAGTATCCTGGAATTGGTACCTCACCGACAAAGCAACAATACGAAAAGTTTAAGCCTTGTGTGTATAAAGCATCTGTTTGCTGTTTTTTTTTGCGACGCCTAAAGGGGGAACCTTATGGTACAGTATTGTGTGCAGTTTGCAAGAATTCTGGGAATTGTACAGGAATTTTTTCCACAGGCATGGAATGTCCACAGGCATGTCTGGAATTTTGCTGACACACATCTATGCCCACAGTCCAAATTCCTGATCATGAAAACCCTTGGGAAAACCTTGCTGGGGGATGACCTACATTCCTGGGCTCGAGCTCGTTCACTATACACTCAGGAGAGGGTAGGAATGATCTACTGAACTGTACTTTATCTGTCTAGACTTTTAAGTACAGGTTACAAGGTACATGTACAAAATGTATACTGACAGTGATGCCAATTACCCGTAAAAAGTATACGGGTAATGTAAAGGGATGGTTGTCTCGGGAAATGATGAACAAATCGACAAGCCAACAAGGCTATGATAAGACAGAAACATACATGTACCTGTGACAGCCTGGCGCTTAAGAATAACCAGAGAAAGACTCCTGCGACGATGCACAACCCAAGAACGAAAGCCGCTCCAACTGCAAAGATCACTCGGCGACGCGTACATCCTGAAATATTATCATGTTGGTATTTATCATAGTGAAATGTTGGAACTTTATTCCAACAACAATTAGTACATAGGGATCGAATTTTTAACTGTCGCCTTCACCAGGATAATTACTGAGCAGAGCTATTGAAAATACATATAATGATTTGTATTTTAGGGCGTTGTGTCAACAAGGGAATTACCAATGACAATAAAAGAATTCAAAAATTTCTCTCCAGCAAGAGGTTTATGAAGTTGATAAAGTTCGTACCGTGCGCTGCAGGATGCTGGACGTTTGGCACGTACATCGGATTTGGATTGAGTGCATGCAGGACATCATTGGCGGCATTGATGCTGTTTGAAGCCGCCGCTGGTAGATTCTGGGAGGATAGGCTTGCTTGAGTGTCTCCTGAAGTTGTGTTCCACCCCACGTCACCCTGGCACATGTCTGCGGCAGCGTACATCGGATTCGGATCGAGTGCATGCAGGACATCATTGCTCGACGGGCTGGTCGAGACATCATTGATGTTGTTTGAAGCCGCCGTTGGTTGATTCTGATTCTGGGAGGATAGACTTGCTTGAGTGTCTCTTGAAGTTGTGTTCCACCCCGCGTCACCCTGGCACATGTATGCGGCAGCGTATGGTTGAATGACCTCATCTTCAGATACGAAACTGGCTGTATGTCTGTTTTTAGACGCAGCACTGCCACTGTCGTCATCCTCTTGGTATCTAGCAGCGTAAGGCTGGCCGCCATCACAGCTCTTGGTCTTCTGGTTGAATGCAGGGATGGTCCTCATTGTCTCCTGGTATCTTCATCGAGGCTGCCTCATCATCATCCTGGTAACGTGCTACAGCATATGGTTGAAGGTAATGGTTGTCATTGTTGTCAGTCGCTGGCCTGGAGAAGACTTGCTGATGTATATCAGCTGATGTCTGGATGCAGGGATTGTCATCTCTCTTATTTGACTTGAATGTGGGTTCAGGACTGTTTGGAAGGTACATCGGATTGGGGTTAACATCGTTTCTGGAGTGCGTCGGAGAAGTGTTCGTATGAGTGTACATCGGGTTCGGATCCCTGGCGGGTCCAAGGCTGGCGATTGGCTCCATGATGCTTTGCAGGTACATCGGATTGGGGTTAACGTCGTTTTCGGCGTCCATCGGTTGAGGGTTCATGTTTTGTGTGTACATCGGGTTCGGATCCCTGGCTTGTGTGTGAATGTTGCTGTCATTTGCATTGAAAGTTGAAGTTTCAGTATCATTATCATTATTAGTGTTGTCGGGCGCCGTTTTAGTTGGCTGAAAAGGTTTGTTTTTGGTCTCTTTCACGGCTTTCTTCATGCGAATAGTCTGTTCTTTGCATATGTATGCAATGGCGTAGGTGTCAAAGTCACCAGGGCCGATATCGATTGTCTGACTGTTCTCAGCAGCAGTGTCAGACAGATTTTCATCGTCATTGTCTTTATTTCCCTCACATCTACCAGAGATGTGGTGACTGGCACCTTCGGCAGCCTGCCCGAACGTGGGTGACACAGTTCCTGTCTCTGGTTTTGCCATTCTTTCGCTCAAGAACTCGTTTCTGACGAATATTGCTTTTGGTACGGTGTTGGATGGCATATTTGCAGCCATGGCTCCAAGATCTCTTCCTTTGTTTAATTCTATATGTAGTAAGTCATAAGAAGAAACCAAACTGATCCTGCATTTAAATTGCACAACATATTTCAACAGCGCAGATAACATATGTATAACTAGAAAGGCCAATGTTTGCTTTGGAGCAAATACAGCGATGGGTTCACCACATTTTACCACATGGCAGGGAAAGAATGAGAAACACAAGGGAAAACAATGATTTACATTGATATAACTATAATATGAAGTAACATACAACTAAAACAACAGTTGGATAGCTATTCCCTACTTTATTGTTTGGATTTTTAATTGCATAATGCAAACTGTTGATTTTCAAAATAAAAAAAAACGTTCATGCCCCGCATTCCAATGCTGGAGCAGGAAAGCTTGAAATACCTACCAAAACACTTGAATAAAGACATACTGTCAGTATGGAAATGCTCTGTGCAGGTGTTAATCAAGTTAAATCCCAACAGCCAATCAGCAAGAAATGCTCTAGTGCAGGTGGAAATCGCTTCGTTGTGCCAGGTGTTAATCAAGTTAAATCCCAANGCCAATCAGCAACGAAGT